CCGGGCGCGGACTTGAACCCGGGGCCTGGGGCAGGCGGAGCGCGCACGTGCCGGCGGCTGCCTCCGCGCTGCACCGCCTGTGCCGCGCGCGGCCCTGCAGGCGAGCCTGGAAAGGAGTGGCGAGGCTGCCTGGACAAGGCACCGCCGTCCCGGGAAAAAATACATCAAATAAAGGGCTTGTTTTCCACATCGCGCTCTTCCCATTTTTTCTCAGGAAAGGCTCCTCTCCTGGGCCCTCATTACATGATAACGGACTCGGCTCCCGCTCCCCGCGCAGGGCAGGTTTCACGCAGGCTGAGGGCCTACTCCCCGGCTCCTTCCCCTCCCGCACGGCCGGGGCGAGGGGAGCCCGGCGCACACAGGGCAGAGTATTTAGGAGCCGTCTAATGCCCCGGCCGGCGGCTGCTAGTTGTAAACCGGAGCGTTTGCGTGTAATGGCTCTCTCCCCCCTAACATATCCTTTTACAAAGGGAAAGTAAAACGTGTCATTTGATTCGGTGCCGCGCAGACAATAATATTATTAAATAAGTTTCCCATTGTACTCCCTGCCATTTCCAAGAGGCGCGTTCAAGCACTTTTAATTTACCCTTCGGGTACGCGATGTCATTTGGAGCCGAGTTAAAAGTACAGGCGCTCAAAGCATTCTTCCAGATCTCCGGAGAAATCTGAGAAAACAAAATCGTGCCACCCTCCTGCTCCGCATTTCCAGTTAAGCAGAAAAAAACCGCCCTGAAATTGATGCTCTCCTCTAATGGGAACAAAATGCTGTCTTAGACCCAGGATTAAGCAGCCCAAGACCTGGCCGCCGCGCCGGTGTCGGGAGGAAACATGAAGGAATTCATCGCTTTCCTGTTTCAGACCCAGCCCTTTCCCCGGTGCTGGGCCTTTTCTCCTGCCCAGGAAACGTGTAAAAGTAACCCAGGTGCTATTCTGCAAATTACCAAGATTTATTCTTTCTTGTTACACTCACTGCTCTGGCTTTCTGAAGCCGGGGCTGCACTTTCGCATTGTGTCATCTTAGCTGCAGCCCCATAAATCTCGACTGAAACAACATTTTTATCCCGTCATCAGACACGCAAAAAGGAAAAGTAATACATTTGATCTTCTAAAGCAGAGAGAGAGGGAGAGAGAAGGCTCCGAGCTTCTCTCAAACACTTCAAGGATTAAGGGTGGAGGGGGGAAGGGGTGTGCATTAAAAATGATAAAATAAAAACATGATATGAAGATATATTTACTGTCAGCTCAGAGCCAAAACATTTACGCTCCCACGCTTTTTGGAGCAAATAGGAACTTAAGTGATGCATTTTAATTATTTTAAGAAAATAAGCAAGGGGCTCTTTTTCGGAGCCTGAATAAATAACGGAGTGTTCTGTACTGATGATGCCTGTTAGTAGTGATGCCCTCGCATATGCAGCCACTACTGTGAGCTTTGAGACCCTGGGAAGAAGGGAGTGTTACTGGCAATTTATGAAAGGAACTAGCCATTGTTTGTGGGGCGGCTGAAACAGAACGTGCAAAAGCCTTTCTGAGGGTCTGAGAGGTGAAAAGGGGGCCAATATTTTCCTAAAACTACAGACCAGGATGATGTGGGTCTAATCTCGCTATTGTTGTAAACCCCGGAGTGAGAAGCATTTCTCTTTAATTTGTTTTCCAATTGTTAGTGAATGAACCCCTTTAACTAATGGGGGAAAGGGTAGAGGTTTCCCTGATACAGGGGGAACTGCATGCCCTGCAGTCTCACAGATCAGCTTGATCTAACCTCCAACAACTTTCTTACTGCATCCCATGTGCCTCTAGTTTCCAGCAGATCTCTTTCTGCAAGATACAGATAATCATTTTCTTAGTAAAAACTGGAAGAAGGATCCCTGAGATTTCAAGAAAGTTGTCACACAATATACAAAAATTACAGATACACACACATTCATCTCCATAAAAGACAGCATTAGCATATAGCTAATAACCTTCTTGTGCAGAGAAATCCAATCAGTGGCAGATTTCAGCTTCTGAGACAAGTTCCCTGTGCTGGCTTTACAGACATACGACTGGCACTTTAAGTCATCAGGGGCTACTTAACCCACAGTTTTTCCAAAATATATGGCATTTTTTCCTTTCACTAAAGATCTCCCATATGTCTAGAGACCACTCCTCCTCCCCTCTCCACTTTCTAGAAGGATAAGTTGTCTCACAAACACTGCAGCCCATTTTTTTTTGTTAGCTTTAAATGGGCATAGTGGAAAGTAAGGAGCAGCTATAGGCTAATTCTTTCTCCTTGCAGTTCATTTTTACTGTGACTTCAAGACTTTCCCAGACATTTTGCATCAGATGCTGTGCGAAGAGCCAAAAGGATGCGATACCATAGAGAAGGAAATTATGTTTAGATAGGAAATGTCAAATGATTTCAATTACTGACGTAACTGAAAAACAGGGCTATTGCAAGGAACAGAAAAAAAGAGGAAGAGGAAAGGGGAAAGATGGAAGAAATCTTAGCTGCAGTCAAAGCTAGTAGAACTGTAAGATCAAGACTGCAAAAAGGTGCTGGTCTCCAGTGTTTCCAGTCTCCATGATCAGCCCCATGGATGGAGTTAGCTATAATATGTATTACCTGGCCAGGTAACAGCAGGAGCTGGTGCTGATCCCTACATGGCAATGCCAGAGGTCTGGCCCTGTTACTCTGTACACTCTCAACAGCCCTCTCTAAAGCTCCAGTGCTCCTGAGATTTACTGCTCACTGCCTCCTCCCTATCTCTACAACCAAGTTTAAATTATATTCAGTGATGTTGCTCAGGCCCCTTCCAGTCCAGACAATAGAGTTCCTCCAGGTTTCCTATGAGCATCTTGTTCTTCAAACTACAGAAGAAAGATGGACACTTACACGGACACTTACACAGATGAAAGCTGGACAGCAGCAAGTCAGCAGTAGAAGTTGTTCCAAGTGCTGGAAGTCCTGCCCCATTTGCTATATTTTACTTGCGTAGCTTTTCTGTTCTTCATCCACTTTGTTCCTTCTTTGACAAGTGACTAATCAAGGATCTTCCCTTCTTCTCCTGTGGCACTTGTATTATCATTCTTTTTCTCGTTGTTCCTGGAGACCCAGGAAAGGAAGAACATGGATTTGAGTATTCATGAAGTATTCCATGGAGACAAAAATGCATCCAGCTGTGGAAAAGTCTCCTAGGGTAAGTAGCAGATGCAGTCATTTAATATTAGATTGGACCAACTCTGGAGAATCTAGTGAATAATCTTCCACTGTTGGGTAACAAACTACATGACCTAATATTATTTCCTATCTGTAACTTTTTCTATGTCTATGCTCTAACAAAGCAGAAACCAATAAGCACATTAATTGTGTGCTTATGCTAAACACCTTGGCACCAGATATACTGTGGAAACAATACAGGACCTAGACAGGATGGAAATAGACACTGTGATTTGCAGTGACACAGTTAACATTTTTGACATTTATAGCATGCCATCATTCAACTTCAGAAGTAACACACTCCTATGGTGAAATGGAGCATTTCAGATACTGCATCTGTTATTAAAACAAGCCCTTACTCCTATGGCTCCACCATGAAAATCAACTTTTGGCAAGCAGGCACTTTGTATAAACTTTTACTTTTCTAGGAACAACACTTCTCACAACAACTGGAACATTTTTGTTCATGAGGTTTTTCATGAATGGCAAGTCTTTCTGGGACAGGGTTGCATAGGAATTTAGGTGACTAAAGATGTCACCTAAATAATTAACCTAACGAGATTTTCAGAAGTTGTCTATGCAGTTCAGCTTCCCAACTTCCACTGTATTCAGGCATTGGGTACCTAAATCCATTTGAAAATCTTGGCCTCTAACTAATTTCATCTGATGAGTTAGAGATCCTGTGTTGCTTGGTCCTGCATTTCTAGATGGGCAAAAAGGCAGATGCCTCATTAACTTAACAGAACTTTTTTTTTCATGTCCAGCTTGTTTATGTAAAAGCAGTTCTACCATGAGTATGGATATGTGTAAGCTACATGTGGACAGAAAGAAAGGGCCACACTTGATTTCTGAGGAGATTGGCATGCATGTGGGATAGATGGCTGAGTATGAGTATTTTATATCCAGAAAGTACCAGCAAACCAAGTCACCTATTTTAAGTGCATTACATTAGGTAGACTCATGGTCCCCATGTGGCTTTCAGAGGAGACAGTGCAGAAAAAAAGGTGG